TGGCCGTGCTAAATTGTCCCATAGTGTCCAGGGATGTGCAGGTTAGGTGTGTTAGGTATGGGAAATGCAGCGTTAGGGGAACGGGTCTGGGTGGGATGCTTTTTGGAGGGGCGGTGTGGACCTGTTGGGCTGAATGGCCTGGCCCCACACTGTAGGTATTCTATGAACTATGTGTGCACACACACACACAGACACACACCCATTCACTGCAATTACCTCTCGGACAGTGTCGTAAGCTTTGGCAACTCCCTCACGCAGGTCAGCAGGCTGCTGTACCCTCTTGTACTTCTTCAGGTACCTCTTGTCCATGACCGCCTTGGTAACGGGGGGTGTTGGCGACAGGATGTCGTAAACAGTCTCTGCTGTGGCCTGTTGGCAGAGAGCAGTGGTTGGAGTTGAGTACAAGGGTTTTGGAGAGGAGCTGAGTTGCACCAGAGAACCACAGCACAGGAAGCCATTCAGTTTGCCTGAAAGAGACCTTCCGTCAACCTCCGGTTCTTACCCCTTCAGATATAATCCCCCTGTTGGGCTCTCGTGGTAGTGTCGCTAGCTCAGGTTTCCAGGGTTGGGGAATCGAAGACTAGAGGGCATCAGTTTAAGGTAAGAGGGGAATGGATACACAGGAACCTGAGGGGCAACTTTCTTTTTTTTAAACACAGAGGGTGGTATGCATATGGAATGAGCTGCCAGCAGAAGTGGTTGAGGTGGGTACATCAGCAACATTTAATAGGCATTTGGACAATACATGCATAGGAAAGGTTTAGAAGGATAAGGGCCAAGTGCAGGGAAATGGGGTTAGCATGGTTGGCATGGACTAGTTTTGGGCCGAAGGGCCTGTCTTCATGCTGTAGGACTCTTATGAATCTGGGCCAGGAGCCCTAGGTTCCAGTCCCACCTGCTCCAGAGGTGCGTGCATTAACGTCCGAACCGGGCCACACAGTTATTCAACCGTGCAGGCTGCACGCACATTTACCTGAATGGCCTGCACCAGACGGTTGCTCAGTTCCAAAGCTGCGGACGCGGTGGAGGTCCCGAAAGACGCAGCTCCTCGCTGCAGCCCCCGGATAATCCGCCCATCCTTCCGGTACTGTTCAATTGGCAGCCAGAAGAGATCCCTGAGGCCGTGAACTGGGGAGAAGCAGAGAGAGAGACATGGCAGTTACCCACAGCAACACTGCCTCTTACTGCAGCTGAGAAACAAGCAGCAAAGGCTCTGGAACCACAGTCAGATTAATATGGTGTCTGCAACACTGTCCCCCCATCAAACACTCCCCAGGACAGGGACAGCACGGGGTTAGA